ATTCTGGAAAGATGCTACCTTCCTCTCCAAATCAGGGTTTGTAACGGTTTGTTCTGTCTTGCAGTCGAGATTCTCTTTTAATTATGAGCCTTCCGTTATGATTATAAACTTCAGGATATTGCCGTCTTGTGCAAGACTATGCGCCATCACATAAAAGCAGTCAGACGAGCAAAAGCATAGGAACTCGGAGGTCGACACAATGGTGCGGCCCGCGGAGTCACCCGCCTAAGCACAACTGAGCTCGTTTGGGGCAATATGGAGAGCTGTATCAGTCGGTAGACTGGGCACTATTGAAGTACCAGTACCACATGAATTTAATTTTTGATATTCCTCCAAAAAGCAAGGAGTTCGCTGTTCAGACGATCTTAAGGTGGCTATCGCCAAGTAGTGGAAAACGCTCACCCCCAGAAGTATGCGCGAAATACGTTGGCGGTATCAGGAAGAGAATGGAGCGTATTGTAGAGCAACGAGGAAGAGTTATTACTGAGAATAAGTAAATTGATTAAACAGTGTTAATTAGGAAGAACCGTCACAATCGTTTGTTCAGAAACACTCCACCTGTCCGAGGGAATATAGAACACAACTTCCCTCTTCGATCCTGACTATTCTGACATCTACTTCTTCCACTGATTGACTCAAACGTATATGATCGAACCCTTATCCTGATCATATACGTTTAAGTATCTAGTATATATCCTGGCTTGTAAAAGTTACTGTTAATGTATATTCTCATTGTAACAAGTATGCACTGTGAATAAATTCATGAATGTGGCTAACTGTTCTGTTCAATACAGTATCGAGTAGTCGAGTAATCAACACGAGGGGTTTCGATCCAGACGGGATGTGTGATAGTCATGACACGCAAATCCATCTAAAAACTTTCATAACAGCGGTATAGCCGATCACAAGCGGAGAATTTTGCAATTCTGTGCAACAGTTCCAATTTCCAAGTAAGCAAATGGTCAACGCTCAGATGGGAGATTTCAAATTTTCGTCATTTCGTGATAGAGGATCACAGTCTAATCTTTGTGAGCCCAAAGCGAAATGTTTTCCTAGAAAGTAGGGCTGTAACCGCGCGAAACACAGGATAACACAGCCACCTGAACTTGAGTTTCCAGCTGAACTTCGCGGAAACCCTGTAGAAACTGGAATCAAAATGATCACAGAATCATGCTCGTCTCGAATCTGTTAGCCGAAGTGGAGGTACTTCAAGACTCGATCTTAGATTTCCTCAAGAATGAGGCTGAAGAGTTGAAGGAAGTGAAGGTTTCATGAATCGTTGGATTCGTCGCAATCAGAGCAACCCATTAGTCTTGTTTAGACCACTTCCACTGTAGTTCTTGCAAAACGACGGTGTGCGACAGTGTCGCAGTCGTCGATTGTCCACAAAGTAGGAGAGATAAATGTACTTTTACCCCTCATCTTCTTGAAATAGACTAGAAACACCGGAAATGCATTTTGTTTTGAACATCACAGGACTTTTCGAGAACAGAGCTCTCTGAGAGGCGTTGTGCTTTTCTATGTTCGCAGTATTGTACTGGATTTGTGCTCGAGCACAATTTCAAACACCGATAAACGTGTTCAATAAGAGAAGCTTTTATATAGCGCGACGTTTGACGGCCACGCTGGCTTGAATTCTAGTTTGTACATCTAAGGAATGTTTTCACTGGGGCTTTGAAGGGCCCACAATTGGAGCCTCTTGCCCGTGTGGTCCGACTCCGTATGTGAATCGCCGTGTCCCTCGGTCGCACTTCTTTGCCTATAGCGAGAAATTGCGCTCGTCTATAAGGGGGTGGGTGACTTTTGTCTTGGTGAGTTTCGACGGGTTGTGGAGTCCGCATGGGAAACCCCACAAACGGGTCTCGCGCGCGCGCAAGGTACACGCAGCAAGCCGCGGTTTTCGGTGTCCGGCCAGGGAAACCCGTCACGTCTCCGGCGCAATAGCCGTTGCGCCTGTCCGTTGTAAAGACTTGGAGCATCTGCGTTCTTAGAAACAGCTATGGTTCCGAGCGAAATTATTAGGTAAATGAACTAGGTATATCACTCGGAAACGGCACGCTTGAATTCACTATGTTGGTACCATGAGGCACCGACTTCCACAAGGTCGTTGGAAGAGGCATAACATGCAGGTGAAGTTTTTACGCATGCTACACAGATTGTTTTCTCGCTGTCGTTTTAGAGAACAAGTGACTGGCGCGTACCAGCTGTTCTTTGTTTGTTTCATTAATTCATCCGTCATATGCAGGCCAGATGGATTCGCTAACTAGAGTTGGCTTTGTCTTGCAGAATACCCTTTTCAGCAGTTTTTTCAGGCATGGGAGAGTAATGAAATAACACTTTTATCATGCACAGGACTGCTACACACGTTGTGAGTATCGGCTGCTACCGCCCCACTTCAGAAAAGCGGGCACCCGGCGCTTATCGACTCCTCCCCCTCTCCTCCTCCCCCCGCCCCCACTCCATTGTGATTATCACAACGATTGCGTGCCCTGGTCGCCGCCCATTCCCCATTTCTGTGCTTACAGCTTGCCACTGTCTTCAGGTGTCTCTTCGGGTGCCCTTCACAACAAGAACCATAAATTTTATATCATGCAGTGTCTGTACAAACTGCTGTTCCCACTTCTGCATGAGCAATGCGCCTACGACCCCCCCCCCCTTCCCTAGCAGTCAAATATGACCCTCTGCTCTGATTTCCATAACGATGGCATGCCCGGACTGTGACCCTTCCATATCAAACCAGTTCGGTCCTGCTGCGAATACCGCGGATATAGCTACAGTTTGAACGCAGCAACGTGGATCTCAGCACGGACATCCGAAGGGAGACATCTTATGAGGTGTTTTACTCCGTTAGCCTTCATTGTGAGTGGTGTAGAACACAGCAAATTGTTTCCAAATATTTATAATTTTTCATCACCAAATAAATGACAAATTATTATAAATACAATGCAAAATATATCTATATATACAAAATATAATTGAATAATTGCTCAACGACTCGCAAGTGAGGTATGAGTTTCGAATCTACCCGATTGACTCGCAGTAACAGCGAAAGGAGGACTAGAAATATGAAGGTACTAACTCATTTATACACGACAAATAGAATTTTGAAGCAAACTGAAAATGGGAGTTGTCATTATGAAGGATACTCGTTCGTTGAAAGCCTGAAACCCAGTGAGTACAGCAGCGGACAGGCCGCTCTGCTCGAAAAAGCATAATAGCCGTAAGTGAATAGCATTCTTCGAACGACATGAATTGGGAGGAAAAGAAAGGCGGCATGATTTGTACATAGGAAAGGAGTGAAATTGGCCACCAAGAGCAGTCTCTGGGCTGAGCAGAGTCAGTGGGACCTGCCAAGCACGTACTCCTTCATGTGAGTAGGAATCGGCAGACGTGAGACCGTATCTGGTCGAAATGGCGCCACCATTGAACGAAGGCTCAAACGACAGATCTGCTGTAGCGAGGCAGGGTTCCTGCAAATAAGTTAAAATTACGGTAACTGCATGCAAAATCATGGGTATGGTTACTAAGCCGATATCAGGCTGCGCCAGGCACTGAGGAAACCGAAACAGCACCCAAACAAAGACTATTTTTCTCAACACCCTTCTAACACGAATTTCAGCAAGTTGATTTGTTTTTACCGTTTTTTAAATTGTTTCTCATTCATGTGCGCAAGTGAGATTGCTGCATGAAAAGGTCCTATAGGCACTGTATTTGCACGGCTTCAAACTGCCCACTTAGGCTGCGTTCATACTTTGCGGCAGCGTCCACCAGCGAGCACCAGCGTTTCGAGCGTCCATCAGCGCCAGCGACTAGGAAAGTATAGATATCGAGCGAACGGCAGCGTCCACCAGTTACAGGAGTAGAGAGTATGGGTACATGGGTAAGCAGTAGACAGAGTGGGCGAGTATGGGGAAGAGGAGAGGAGCAGATGACCTGGATTAACGGCGTCGCAACAATTGCAAGCGTGTTGCAATCGCACTACGACTACTCCAGCATACACTGCATAGTGCACTGCCTCGAGAAATGTACGGTGGCCGGTTGCATGCGGCCCACTTCCACAGAGTGACGCCTATCACGCTCATTCAGTATCTGCTCGTCCGCATACTGCTAGCCAAGCAATCTGGTACTGTAGGGTCCTACTTCTCATACTCTCACACTCCTGGACAGCGTGGCGTTCGCTCCTTTAATCGATATTCATGGATTGACTTTTCTAGGTGGTGACGTGTACGCAAAGGTATTGAACGCAGCCCTTTGCTGGAAGCGGCGCTATGAGTTTGATGAAGTCTTTCAATTATAAATACACCACAAGACTGAGAAGATCGCATGCCCTCGTGCATTGTGCTGCAGGCCTTCATGCAGTATATACCGACGCCCAGACAGCGATGTTAGATGCGACCGCCCTCCACCGCTGAAGCACTCCTCAGAGAAAGGTGGATTCTAGGCAGATTAACTCTTCGATGTCAAAGAGTATGGCGGGCTCACTGTACTTGCTCGTTCTGAGAGAGTCTACCTTTCAGAGCAGGCGAGGCCCAAGGGCAGACGATCGTATGGGCATTGATCGGTCGAAGTCTCAACGCAAGTCTACCAGGCATCTGAGTTATGGCTAGTACTATGGAACGTAAATCTAATCATACTTGTGATCGTCGAGAATAATCCTAGGTAGGCTGTAAACGCAGACTAGGTGCGTAGTTGAAAGAGCTCAGCGAGTCGACGATTTCAACGCTCCTTGGGGGACTGGCTCGCGCAGACTGGGTACGAGGCGTAGTAACGTAGTCGGCTCAGCTTGCGCGGTAAGCGGGTGTTGGCTGGATTAGAGCTGGCGCATCGACTCTAGGAGGTGTGATAGAGGGGGGTGAGTGGGAAGGGGAGGAGCCAAGGCTAAAGGCAAAAGCAACGACTTTTTGCGGCCATAGACGAACGGCAGCAAATGAACGGACTCGAGGATCGATCCTGGATTATGAGATCTCAAACTAATCGAGGATGTGCACAGCGTCTTACGCAAGAGAGGCAAAAGATACCTGCTCACACAGTCCCCTGGAACGGTAGGTATCTTCCACGAAGGCGACTTTTCAGCTTGAAGCCATGCATCGGAAGAGGCGATGGCTGTATTTGCTTGGGATCTTGCTCCCCGCGCCTTCAAGTAGAAGACGAAGAATCTCATACTGATGTTCCAGAACTGAAACAAACTGCAGTTAGTTGCATCGTTCAAAGACTGTACTCAAATCTCTGGGGCGAATGGAACCAACTGGCGTGAATGACTCCGCTCAAAAGGGAATTAATGGTCTGGACCTAGTCCAGGAGCCCCATTGCAATCGGATTCACTTCAAAAGCGGGTGGACCCCAGTATTAATAATTTAGTTCATCCGAATCCAAGTGTCCATCCCAAGACAACGGTTCATAAATTAAGCCCATTTCCATGAAATCAATCCAGGGCCGAGAGCGTTCTTCATCATCCTTACTTAAGCCTGAGACATCGTGAAGGGTCGATAGATGGAGGCAGAAAACGCTCGAGATCTTTCAGAAGAGTAGTGAACGGGTATTCAACAAGAGTAGCCCAAAGTACAGGTGTAATACAGCTAAAGTGTAGCCAGAAGAAGAACAGAACTAGGCTAAAGAAATATTCATAACATCGCTTGTACCTGAACATGCGGCAAGATGAAGGGCTGAGCCAATGTAGGTATGAATGGCGTTTACATCAGCTCCAGCGTCTATTATGATCTGGAAGGAGAGACGATTGAACAACTCGATGGAAACTACCAGATCATACATGTAACAGCGACAGCGAGTATTCTGCTAGCTCGAGGGTAGTGCCTTAGCACCTCTCCGCTTCCAATTCCTAGCACAGAGCATTTATGCCCTTTTCCACACTGCTCCCGGCCCCAGGTTAATCGAAGGGTTTTTCTTTTCGTCACTGCTCTCGGTCCTCTGGCTGAGCATACTCCCTTTTACTGTCTGAACATGAGTTTATCACTCTTTATCATGACCCGCCAAAAGCACTTTCCTTGAATAATAAGATTTTAGTAAAATTTTACATAGTATTTTGATTGTTAGATTCCTTACTACACTTTTCTTATCTAAGTTTAGAGGGGGTGACTCAAAGAAGTAGCTTAGTTTCCGTTTCGCACGTGCCCTTAGACGGAAACCAAGCAGTTATCCTCCTTCTGTGCTCATCAGTAAGGGAAAAAACATATACTTGTGTGAAATTTGGTCCGCGCTCCAATTAGATATCAGGTCATTCGCTGGCGCACGCCACCCATTTACATCACTTGAGGCAGCTGTATAAACTTTACCATCAACTTGGGCCTATGTCGAGTGTCTACTTGCTCTCTACTATCTGCTGTTCTTAATTAGCCAACTTTTTTAGGTTTGGGGAGCACAGCCAGGGCGGCGTTGGTTCAACAACGATGTCATTCAGCGTCCGCGGCCGGGGATACAGTGGTGTAATAAAATCTGCTCTGACAGCGCTCGCAAGCCCCCCGGCGCCCTGCCTATTCGTTTTTCGTGTTACCTGACTGTAATCATCTATTGAGGCTCCGTGTCCGACGAAAGCCGCTGAAACGATCAAATGGAACGCGGCTGGGCTTTACCACACCATTTTCAGTACCCTTATTTAGCATTTCCATCTTAGCTTACCTTCAGCGTCACACTTAACTTACTGCATAATTCCACATTAAAAAATTGATGACTTATACGGAGACCACTTCTTACTCAACCATCATCCAACTTTTTATCATCCCACCGACTTTTGACACTGGTGCCCATATCTGCTCCAACAACACAATTTCTATAGCCTATCACCTATCATCACTCAGTATCACTGGGTTCAATCCCCTATCTCTTCCCACTCATTCATACCCCTGTTCATTTCAACCTCTTTTACTACATTTGCCATTACATACATACGTACCGCCACTCTGGATCGCCCTATCTTTGTGTGGCATTTGTATCGGCTCTTATCACTCCTTGACCCCGTAAACCACTAATCATAAGGCCCCAAATAGTGTAGGTCTTCACTGTTGAGAGAACAATTTTTTCTTCAGGAACTGCGGCCAAATTTACCTCGCGCAAACACTCCCACGCATGCATAAAGGGCAGAAATCCACCCATAGACCCTCTGCTACCCAAATACTCAAGCAAATTGAGGGATGTTGCTCAGTGGCTCGATTGAAAGCAAAATTTCTCACTTTGAGAAGTTCGGGATCGTCTTTGAGTACAGCGATATCGATGATGGACGGCTTGTTGTAACCCTTTGGCATAGTGACGTTGGCGCCGAGCTAACAAACACGAAAAAAATATTGATCGAGAAGTAGTGAGGAACAGTGCTCAGAAAGAGGCAGAAAAAGCTATTTTAACGATAGTTGACGCAATTTACCTCAATTAAGAACTTCACCAGAGTGGCACTACCACTAAGTAGGGCGTAGTGTAGAGGTGTACGTAAATCCTGACGTGGATGAGCCTGAGCATTCACATCACCGCCATACTTGTGGAGAATCCTGAAAGTACCAAAACGCTAAAGAAGGGGAGATTCAAGGTTAAACTCAAGCTCCAAAGGTGAAGTGAAAGAAATTTTCATCCACCCTACAGGTGAAGGACTTCGCGTGGAACAGTAACAACGTTGATGCCCACCCCACCATACATTGGGGGTAAACTTTCCCATTCAACGTTCCCACCCTCTAAAACAAGCATGGTACTATCCAGGTAAAATTGGTAGGAGAATAGCCCTGCAAGTAAGGCACCCATCGACACATCTAGGGAGGCGGATCAAATCTCACGGCCCACAGTCACCTATAATTATCCGAGCTCCTTGAAGGGGTAGGTAGTGGAAACCTTAGCAAACAACCCTGCACAATTTCGCCTCAGAAAGTTATAAGGTAGTGGCTATAAGGCACAAGGTTGTACAAGTGACTCCGCCAGAAAGTCAGTGACTCCGCCCACAGATATCTTATCAGTTGTCTTGCTCATTGCGTGCTCTATCTTGTCGCCTATGTCTGGCTTTCTCGCCCGAGAATTTTGGTCTTTCGCTTATCGAAGATCCTTTCTTATTCACTAGCTAGTCAATTGGCAGATACATTTCTATTCTGATCCTGACACCAACGAACTTCTCGCCTGCTCATCGCGATTTCTGCCTCTAAGCCTTCCCACATGTCATTTGGTGGACGGAAGCTCAGTGAAGGGCAAGAATGAAAACGGGTAGCGACTAAGTTTCACAATTCCTCACCTGATTGCTTCCATCCCATTCTCCTTCAGTCGACAAGCTTTCATGATCGGGGTAAGACCTTTGCGGTCGAAAACGTTCGGATCAGCGCCGTATTCGAGCTAAACAGGAGGGAATTTAGATGTGAAACTGAATGATGGAAGGAGAAATCGCAAAGATTCTGAATGGGACCACGGTTAAGGGGAGGGAATAAGTTTGGAACGAACCAGAAGCGCGATAAAATGCGTGTCAAGAGGGCTGACGTGGGTGATCTCTGGTCCATCGAAGTAGATGGCGTTCGGACTGGCGCCGTTTTCCAACAGAAGACGAGCGCATTCGTAATGACCGTTCTAAAAGGGGTAGATACTGGATTAAATGCAGAAATATAATATTAAAATTAATTTCAAAAAATATATTAAAAGAGGATTAGAATTAATATTTATATTATTAAAATAGCATATTATATATGAACATTAAATTTTGTCAACGTTCAAAAAGCAAAGAAAGTTTGAGAGAGAAATACAAAAATTATTGGTTTGGAATGAATTTGTAGATCTTAGTTCATGGGCTGCATCAAACGAGAGGCGTTCTTCAAGGAATGCCCCTTCTACAGAATACTCAAGGCTTTTCAATCATTTTTTCCGGGATAGAGGACTAATCTTACGGTTTTCATTGAGGTCCCATGCATTTCACTTTATCGGGAAACTGTTGAGACATTTGAAGCTTATCAAGTCAGGAACAGTCAGGAACGGAAGCATGTGCCCGTATCTTTCGTTACGAGGTGCACAAATGATATCATTGAAACAAAAACATTCTAATGATATCATTTGCAAAAAAAAACTATTTCCTGACTATGGTTTGACCATTGCCCAACATCATTTTTTCCGTCATTCAAAGGCATATGGCACGATAATTTGGTACTCGGTCTAAAATGCTGGCAGAGAATGCCATATAGTGAGCAAAATAGCGAAAAAAACGAAGCAGAACGGTCGAAGACCTGCGGAGAAAAGCCTTCGTTAAAGCAATTTCGGACGAGTTTCCCGTAGAGCATCTTGCCAATAACCGCTACGGTAGATACGGCTGCATGTATGTACTCATCTTTCCATGCAGCACCGCGGCCGCTTCATATCAATCCCTTCGCTTCATATTGTACTTATAGTTAGCAAATGAAGCAGAAGATTTGA